ATAGCTTCTCATCCAATGAGAAGTCGGCCGAACCCGCGATGATTATACACGCCATGCCTTCCGGAGCGCGAAACAGACCCTCAATTGATCTCACCATTGATTGTGTGGTCAGTGATGAACGGTTCCCAACACTTCGGTCTTGGGATCGGATGGCATGGGTTATGAGCGGACATACAATTCATATTTCAAAAATTAGATGCATTTTAAATATTATAAGTTATATGTAATTCCAATCATTATTAATTATGTATTATTAATAAATACTATACCCATAAAATGGTTGTAACTTTGTATTCTTGGAAACACTACCGTTCTTAAGGATAATAAATGCTCTCAAAACTATCACTTTTTATCTACAGTATAAAATCCAACGAAAAAAATAACTTGAGCACTTAATAAATTGTCAAACACCAGTTAGGTATAGTAAAAAATCACACAGGTGCATTTACATAATCCGCTGAGAATTGGTACACAATTTAATGATAAGCAAAACCGATAAATACAACGTTAAAACATTACAACTATGCCATTACTGTTAAGAGGGTTTGACTAACAAAATGCAAAAGCACTTTAAATATTTCCTTTTGGCGGTGATTGCGATTCTGTTCACTATAACAGGTATACAACGATTAGCAAACTACCCAGATTAATGTGAAGTCAAAACTAATTACAACAGTAATTTACCATAATTTGTAATATAAATGCAGTTGTGAGCGGTCGACGGGAATGCATAGTCCGTAAGGTTCCCAATGCGGACACAATGTGTGTTTGTAACGCCACGTATTGCGATGACTTCCCGCCCCTCCGACCGGCCAAACAGGGCTTCGCAACCGTTTATGAGAGCAATAAAGTCGGCGACAGGTTTAAGGAAACGGAACTCAAGTTCGGCTCAACCACTTCGAGCGCCGTATCGGACGGACAACGGGTGACCGTAACGATAGACGCGACCAAAAAGTATCAGTCAATCTACGGCTTCGGCGCCGCTTTCACCGACAGTACGGGACAGATGTTGGCGTCGGTGGACGAGTCGTTGGCCAACCAATTGATTGACAGCTACTTCTCGGAGAACGGTATCGAGTATTCGGTGGCGAGAGTGCCGATGGCCGGCACAGACTTCTCCGATCGGCCCTATAGTTACGACGACTTCGACGAAGATCTGGAGCTCAAACACTTCGCCCTTCAGAGGGAAGACACCGATTGGAAGGTATGGTTAGACTCTTAGAGGGAATGCAAAATGTATAATCAATCGCTTATAATTTGTATCACTTTATTAGATCCCATACATTAAGCGAGCGCTGAAAGTGAGTCCACACAAAGTGAAACTCTTCGGCAGTCCGTGGAGTCCTCCCGCGTGGATGAAAACCAATCACAAGTTTGAGGGCAACGGTTATCTGAGGGGTGATGTCGGCGGACCCTACTATCAATCGTTTGCCAACTATTTTGTCAAGTAATTTGAAAACAAATAAATAATTATCATTAAAAAAACATTTTAAAAATAACTAAATTACAAAAATATTAGGCATCAGATTCTTAGAGGCGTACAAATCTCATGGCATTGAGTTCTGGGGCTTAACCGTCGAGAACGAGCCAAATGAGGGCCAAAACAACAAGAACTACAACTGCCTGAACCTCACGGGTCCGACGGAACGGGATTTCGTGAAACTCAATTTGGGACCCACTCTGGCGAAGGCCGGTTACGGCACAGACAAAGTGGCACTCATGGTATACGACGACAACTTGGGTGAACTCAAACACTTTGTCACTCCCATACTGGAGGACAGGGAGGCCATGAAGTATGTGTCGGGCATCGCGTTTCACTGGTACGGCAACGGACTGATGGACGTGTGGCCCGACTCGCTGTTGGACGAGTTTCACGAAAAGTACCCTGATACTTTTATCCTCAACACCGAGGCCTGTCATTTGAGTGACTCCGAGCCGAGTGGCGTACGTCTGGGCAATTGGGAGTACGCGGAACACTACGCCTACGATATCATAAGAGTAAGCTAGGGTTAAATATTGCACAAATTAATTACCACGCTCAATTAATTGGATAGATGTTTTGGAAAATGTAAATATTTTAAACGTGTAATTATTATAGGATCTGAATAAACACATGAGGGGTTGGGTCGAGTGGAATATGGCGCTGGACATGAAAGCGGGACCAAGGTGGAATGAAAAACAGGGCTACGGTGGCTGCGTTAACATCGACCCGGCTGTTGGCGAGGCCTACAAACAGCCCTCGTTCTACGCGATCGGACACTTTAGCAAATTTATTGCACCCGATTCTGTGCGCGTCCACAACACCGCCGACCAAACGTTCAAAAATTTTTCAGTGCTTACCGTTCAGCGGCCCGACAATCGGCTCGTTTTGGTCGCACTCAACGCCCGGTCCGGCGATATTGAGCTCAATATTGTGGACTCGACCCGCAGTTTGTCTCATAAAATACCCGCACATTCCGTTCAATCGTATATTTGGTGATCGGGTTATATGTGTGTTGCAATTGTCGGCTTTATTTTGTATTTATATTAATCTTGTTTAATAAATTACTCGCTTTTATGCCGTGTACACTCAATGCCGTGTTTCCAATAAAGAGTTAATATATTGTCAATTAAAATTTGGTTTATTTTAATCAAAATATAAAATATTTAATACAAAACAAAATTATGAATTTATTACAAAATTATTATGAATTCAATGGTTATTTTTTGTCATAGAGTTGTCTTTCAAATAGTATTTCTCGCATTATTTAGCATTGATTTCATTAATGTTTGTCGACTAATTGATTACAACATGAGTCTTAATCTAGTTATGGACCGCATTGTCGGACAATTATCTTCTTATTAAAGCTCTTGTGGTAATCGGTGTCCAACAGACTCTTAAGGCATACAAGTGCTCGACATGTCATCTGTTGGGTGCGATTGTAGACCAGAATTTGCATAACAATATTGCTTAAGAAATATAGCCATAACTTGTTTTATATAAATTACAAGTTTAAACATCAAATTATTAATTTGTTTATTGATTAAACAAAATTCGTAAAAATATATATTTATCTAAATATATTAAACAACTCGCAAACAGTATTGTATGTGTACTGTACTGGAAGTACTGGAAGTACTGTGCGTCCAATTATGAGATAATTATAGATGATATCAAATCACTGGTCATTATAATTATGTTATGAAAATTCATATCGATTTCAAATAAACCGAATATTTAAAAAAAACAAACAGTAATATTAAAAACAAAGCTTTTGACGCAAATTGTGTGTCGAGTAATCATTTGAGGGTTTGTTTTGTTATATAAATACATCAATAAAACAAGTATTGAAAACAATAGAGAATATAAACCATTTGTTTTGATTTGAGGGATCAATTGTTGTACAAAAAATGTTATATAAATTTCAATTATATAATCTCTATTTGAAGGACCAATTGTGGTGTCATTCATGTGACACAAGGAAGAATGTAAATTGTAATCAGAGGTGATAGTTGCGGCACCGGATGGCGAGTCCTGATCACCACAAACACTATATATACACAAATGTAGACAACGAGTACAGTATATCCATAACAGCAAACATACTGTTTGGCGAAGAAAACAAAATAATTATATAATAAATTAGTTATGTTTGTGATTAGCTTTGAACACAAAATTGTCGTCAAATGGCGGCCAACACTCATTAGTATCTCTTCTTATGTTTTCTCTTGTGTTTCTTAGGCTTCTTCTGGCTGTCATCCATGTCTTCGTCGATGGATTGATCGGCCGATCGTTTCAATTTATTTAACCGAAAGTTCTCTAATACAATGTTCTGAAACTCTGGCGACTCTTCGAAATCTGAATCATCGCCAGCTGTTCCATCGGTTCCATCGCCTCCTTCTGTTCGCCATCGCCTCCTACTGTCCGTCGGCTCGTCATTAGCCTCCTGTCCGCCATTCATCTCTCTATACGATTCTTCGTGATTATGGACTGACGACTGGTCTTCGGCCTCAGAGTCGGACAATTCAATACATATGGGCTCTTCTCGATGAATACGGCTTCGACGGTGTGTCTGCTCTGTTATAGCTCTAGCGGCCAATAGAACTCTGCTATACTTCGAGTCGGGAACCTCTTCTGTTTCAGCGCCACTGTCTTCTTGTGGCACCACTTCTTCCTCATGTGCCGCCTCTTCTTCGTCGCTGACAAGAGGCCCATATTGTGGTTGTTTTCCATACTCTCGTTCTATTTCTGCCCTAAAATCCTCTTCGCTGTCAATATCTTCGGTCCCCAAATCCGTGAGCACTGCCTCCTCTTCGCCGCTATCGATATCCTCTGTTCCCAAGTCTGGCATCACTTCCTCCTCCTCTTCGCTGTCGATCTCTTCTGTACCTATTTCTGTGACAGCATTACAACGTCCGCCGGTATTGCGGGACCCGTTTTTGGTGACAGTACTCTTCGCCGCCTGAATGCTCTCTTGTAATTGATCTAAAGTAATGAGAGTCGAGTCAGTAGTCGTCGCCGATTGACGAGAAGTGCTCTGAACGGGCGACTCGGATGGCGACGGGCGCGGCGGCGGCCGAGCGCTCACCGGACGTACGGGTTGTCTAAATCGGGTCCTCGACTTCGCGGACGGTCTTCGGTGGCAAACAGTGCCGAAGTAGCGGTCAGTGCGGGCAGTGATGTCGCGACTAATCTTCACGTATGTCTTGTCGCAGAACTCGATGTCTGCCCTCCTATTGGCCGCGAACTCATACCTGTCGACGGGTCTCAAGAAGACTGGACCCACTCTTCGCACGTCGTCCGCAAACGTCTCCTCCGATTGTTTATAAACTGTTACAACTGTCGGACGCCATCGATCACTCATTGTCACCGCAACTGATCCGCCAGTCGTTGTCTTCTAAGGCATTGTTTATCTGTGAATAAAATGCAAAAAACAATATAACTGTTTGCGAGGGAAATAAGATGTGAACACATCTGATCCGATCGTGTCTTCTGCGGCCCAAACTTACCATTCATTCAATGCATACGAAAATCACAGACCAATCGATGGTTTGGTTGATATGAAAGACAAAACTGAAGACACAATTAAGCCGTGAATTGAGACTAAAAGTGGATTCAATTGAATCCCAAAAACGACGACAACTGATGACAACAACAAACACATAAAAAAGTACAGAAAAATGGTTGTAATGCTATTGGATATGCAGTGAAGGTATGCATTAAAGGGTTAATTGTATGCCTTCAGTGAGTGTCAGTTATCATGTTTTTCTATTTTAGGCGCACTTTTAATGTTGCAAAAGTGTGGATACCTTTAACGTTGTATGACATCTATTGTGAGCGCTTTGTATCCTAAAGGCTAGAGTATGTATGGGTCAGATCACTGTCAGATCAATTTTATTGCTATGTAATTTATACTCTATTCATGTCTTACTCATATAATAGGTTATAAGTTATCAAGGTAATACAGTAACCACGTCAAGTTATAAATAGCTTCGCCCCAATCATACTATATAATTTACATCATTATTACCTTAAATATTCCCTTATAATATACCCTGAATTCACTACACTATTGTAAATTAAATTTTATTTGAATACAAAAATTCAGAAATTGACATTTGTCATTTTATTCTTATTCAATAAAATAAATCCTGGTAATCACTTTGGTATTCATAATTTTTTCGTAAACTTAATGATAGGTAATATTAATTTGTGAATACATTTGTATTATCTACTAGCCTTGAAATGATTAAAATATTTATTATAATGCAAATGATTGTAAATGCATAAAGAATTTAATTCGTATTGCACTTGTTGTGCACTGAATTGAGCATGGTCTACAAAATGAATTGCTTTGTAATATATTTGTAATAATAATTTATTTAGTATATTGGACCATAATGCAAAATATACTAAAAATTATGTAAATAATAATAATATAAAATAAAAATATTTAAAATAATAAAAATTAATTTAATCTCAAGTATTGGCACTTAATTTCATAAACTCCATATTGATTAATCTTAATAAAATATATAACCCGTTTGTAATAATTCCACTAGATATCTAATTAGCACATATTATTGAAAACAAAAGCTTTTGTCGAATGTCCACACAAATGTCAAATGTGCAGCATTCAAAATTATCATATTTATACATTGAATACAGAGGCAAGGAATTACCAAGCTAATGCTCTACCCATTAGGCTGTTATATTGTATGCAAATATCATAGTTGTTATATTTACTTATCACAAAACTGACATTTTTTAATCAGTAAATTATAATTCAACTTTTTTCTTCTTCCTATATTGTTAGCATATATTAAGTATTTGTCTTTTAATAACGAAATCACTTTATTATTTACATTATTGTATAATAAATACAATAAATTAAACATAAAGCAAAATGATGATTTTGTTTTTAGCTATAGTTTACACAACACTCCTAATACAGGTTAAGGTGTCGTCCGGCGCTTATGACGACTACTCGTCCGAAGATCCAGACGTTGACGTTCGCTGCGAAACGGCCAACGGCTGGTTCACTCACCCGATTCTCCCGCACCAGTACTACCTGTGCCAGAATTATGTGGCAAAGCTGTACGACTGC